GGCATGTAAACTGATTTGTCTCTCACTCCGACTGCCAGGCGCCACCCCGCGCTTTTACTGTGCTGAGCCGCCGCTGCAGCGCTGTCAGAGGTTTATGCTAATTCCGCGTTGCTGTTTATATGAAGAGTAAACACCGAGTTATGTTTCTGTGTGGCTTATCCAGATGGGGTGCGTAGAGCGAGTGCGGCGGGTGTGGCTTTAGCAGGGCTTGAGCGCACTAGCGCGTCTGTGTACGCCCAACGCTGTAGCCCGTCTTTGAGGATGGGGGAGCTTGCCAGATAGGGTAAGGAGTATTTTTTCGGCCTCTTTCTACCTAGCCCTCCCACCCCTGCACACACGCAAGAAAGCAAATTAAACATAATATAAAATTTCATAAGACGCACTGAAACGAATCTTTGTGTCAATTTTATAGATTTAAGGAGATGATACTTCGTATCAGCAGGTAATATACTGTAATTAATTTATAAAGAATATCGTTAAGGTAACGTGTCGGTTAAAAAAGGGCTAAATTCATGAAAATTACGTTTCAAAATTGCTGCGCTGCTGTGGGGAGCGTCATCTAGTGGTGGCAGGGAACACTTACTAGCCCCTCTCACCCCACACATCCCCCGCCCCTTCCCTCAGATCAGAAGGGCATTTTCATAAAGTCGGAAAATTAGTCGTACAACAGTTTTGATGCGGGAGACATACCATTCAAGGATTTTTGTCGCTTGCCTCTTTGCCCAGAATGTAACAGAGTTAATTTTTTCTACATATGTTGAGCTTTTAATTACATATTTTGAAATGTGTACATGTTCTGTCAATTCAAATGTGTACATCGTACACTTTAAATAAAGCATACATGTCATGTACACTTTATTTAAAGTGTACAAAGTACAGATTTGGATTGACAGAGTGTCAGCGAAAATCTCCCTCTTCCATTGTAATTTAAGAGTTCACGAAACCAATAAACAGAGATCATAATTTTGCATTAAAATTTTTTGCGCAAGTGATATTTGGGAAAAGCATTTAAAACTGGTTAAATATCGCTACCTCTCTTAAACAGTTCGACGGATCAGGATGGACTGTAGTGGGGGAAGTTTTCTACTTCAATACGATTGAGAATTCTGACACACTCAGCGTTATGATTAATAAATGTTATTTTTAATTTATATCGGTGGATAACCGAACGTTGACCCCGCCACTAACAGCCATCGCCAGATAAAGTTCCTCCTTTCCACAATGCCTGCCTACCTCTTTTCTCGCGACACGGAACGTAATTCCCTCATCAGTGCTAATGAGCGCACTACGGGGGTGTCATGCCGATGGTCATCCATTGCTGTCAGGCCTGGCAGGCCACCACAACCCCGTCACAAAAATACTACTACGCCGACAAAGTTTTGCTGCACATCATGAAAACAAGTTATTTAAATATTTCTGAATATTTGGACATCCAAATAATACCATGTGACAGAGAAACTGTGGAATAAACTTGCATTATCATGCTCAGCACAAGATGGCCCACGCCTACCGACCGAGAAATATTTCGTAGCTCTACTGAACCGCATGCAGCCGTGCGGGTGGGCTTGCCTACAGTTTTTCACCACTGCACTTTATGGTCCTTTGCGAGTTGACAAGGCGCCCACACGCCTGCAAGCATGCGGTGTGGTACCGTAACCTAAGAAATTCTCTGGGCCAGCCTCTATATGGGGACCCAAAGAATCCAAGGTAATTGTATGAACGCTTTGTATTTTTTCAACGGCAATTCGTAGTTAAAAAGGGCGTTTACAAAATTTAAATCAATGTAGTACAGAGAGTGCAATGGGACTTCCGGAAATGCAAGCAGCACCAGCCCGGCGGTCTCCTTGAAGTGCGCCGCCACTGACCGCAACCACGATACTACCTCACCTCTCTGTCCTCACTCACACACTGAGGGTACCTTCGGAAATAAAGAGTCGCGCTTTACAGCCAACCGACGAGATGACAATGCCAATCTCATTACATCAGCCTGATGTTGTCCCTTAGACTGGAGTTCGAAACGCTTCCTGGACAAAAAAGGTATAATCGATTTGGTTGGACCTACTTGCATACAAATCAACAATTTAAAAGTCTACAGACGGGAGGCAATTTACAAATTACATGTATGAGAACACATGTCTAACACTTATGTGTGGATCCAGCGACCAACAAGATCGCGAAGGATCTACTGATGCGACCATGAGAAGACTCATGATGAGACTGATACCACAACCTTCTGTATGACTCAAACACCAATATTTGTATAGTGGTAAATGTCTTCTTCTTTAACCCGGCCTATCAGGCTTGCGTTAATTTTTTAAGTCGAGACTTCCAATGCCTAGCATTGGACACGATAGGTGACCAATTATTTCGAAGGGGTGGGAATAAATATGGACCAGCTTCTCTTTCACATGTTTATATCGGCCGCACTTGGATAATAACCCGCCGGGCTCCGAAACTGTAGACTAGACAGCCCGTATAGTGTCTGCAAAATAGAGCCATCAATGGAGTCTCGGTTGGTTTGTTGGCCCTCTGCCGCTCGTTCCTCTCTTCTGAAGCTAAAGCATATCTCATACGTTCCCCTCACACTCACTGCCTTACTATGAGTTAACTTGTAATTTTAGAGAGCACGGTGTTTCGGGGCCAGTGGGGCATCTGGGTAAAAGAAGAGAATAGGCTTCCATGAGAGCCGCGAATAGCGCAGCAACACGCCCCCTCGGGCCTCACCTTCACAAATACATTATACATCACCAAATGCTGCTGTCCTATGTAATGGTTAAAATAATTTTTACAATCACATCTCACCAGTGCAAAGTAAAAGTTGCAAGAGGTCACGCAGCCTTTTTAAGGGCAGGCATACGCGAGAAGGGAGGGAGGAGGAGAGGGGGAGAGAGAGGGAGGGGGGGAGAGAGAGAGAGAGAGAGAGAGAGAGAGAGAGAGAGAGAGAGAGAGAGAGAGAGAGAGAGAGAGAGGGGGGGGGGCGTGTGAGGAAGACCATAAATTTCAGGGCCCCATGCAGCATCGGATCAAAACGCTTATTAGGGGGCGAGGCCCGTAACTCAACACAGGTGTGAAGGGACATGAGCTGACCGTCACGCCTCTTGGAATGAAACGGATCCGGCAAAATAAAGGAATTTATTATGCTACCGTCCGATATAATACGTCTTAACTAAAAAATCGTTGGCTGGTCTCGACTTCTTCTGGTCTACCATGAGAATTTTTTTTTTCTTTTTTGAACATCCGGTTTAAAGAAATGGGCATTTCTACGAAAAACGTTCACACTTCATGTTGCCAAATAGACAATCCGAATAAAAAAAAATCAAGCACATAATTTTTATAATCATATATTTTACTTAGGACTGGGCAATTTTAGGCAGAGGTGTATGTCAAAAATATCTGTCCGTGACGCGATTTGTAAGCGACTGAGAGGCGTTACGTACGCTGTTTTGCCATTTATGGGCAGACTCGCAATTTCAAGACGCGTCTAGTTATATTCTGATCAAAACCGTAGCACCTCTCTGTCGCCTGTCGCTCACATGAATATATCGAAGGCAGACAGAGTAAAGTGATAGGCCAGTGATCATTGCCTTTTTATGTTTTAATTAGAGGAGCCCCTTTGCCGACCTCCTATACTCCAACGTTGTTGGATCGTGCCTGCATACCTCTTTATCGACCAATGGCCTCTACAGGCTAACCTAAGGCAGTTCGTTCAGACCTGAGCCAACAGATATCTGAAGCAGAGGTGCACTCGGAGACGTAATAGCTAACTTTCAGCGAGGCATCATCACAATGTGAGAAAGTTCAACCAATGTACAACATGAACCGCTTTGCGAACCACCATAAATGTTGAACACCTGCAAGCATGCGTCCACGACAAGCGTGACCTGAGGGGTGTCTCGACTCTTTGGCGTAGACTGTACTTCTAATGGATGATATCTATATTAGTCGGGCTGTAAGCGAGCTGCTAAGTAACTACCGGCCGCCCCGCCCCTACGGCCAGCCTGCGGAGCCCACGGCGGCGGTTGCCTTACCCACCGCGCTCACCACGCCCCGCCACGCCGCGCTGCCGCGCAGTGCTACCAACAAATCAGCCAACATGCCACGCACCGACCACGCCCCTGCGGCTCGCTCCGCAGAGGCGTCGGGGCGTTCAACACCATTAGCATGCAGCGAGCCTGAAAACAACGCCGAGCACCCGGCCGAAAGTCACGCTTAGGAAACGGATCTGGGTGCAGCAGCAGTAGCCTGGGTCGCAGGAATACGGC